AAAGACTGAAATGCAAGCCAGGATACCATAAAAGTCTAAGAGGAAAATAGAGACAAAAATTTCAGATATTCCATGCAGTAATATTTTCACTGATATATCTCCTAGAGCAAGGGAAATAAAAGAAAGAATAAAAAAAAATGTGACTACATCAAACTAAAAAGCTTCTTGTGCTCATCTAAAGAAAACATCATCAAAATGAAAAGGGAACCAACGATATGGGAAAACATTTACCAATGATAACTCAGACAAGAGTTTGACCTTGAAAATGTATAAAGAACTCATTTGTCTCAACACCAGAAAGACAGTCAGTCCAATTTAAAAATGGGCAAAGGGCCTGAACAGACATTTCTCCAAGGAGGATATGCAGAGGGCCCAGAGAAATATGAAATGATGCTCATCATCGCTAGCCATCAGAGAGATGAAAATTAAAATGACAGTGAGATACCACCTCACAGTGGTCAGAATGACCATCATTAACAAATCAACAAACAACAAGTACTGGCGAGGATGTGGAAAAAAGAGGACCCTCGTGCACTGATGGAAATTCAGACTGGTCAGCCACTGTGGATAGCAGAATGGAATTTCCTCAAAAAGCTAAAAATGGAACTTCCCTTTAACCCAGCAATTCCTCTGCTGGGATTATACCTTAAGAATCCTGAAACACCAATTCAAAAGAACTTATGCACCCGTACATTCATAGCAGAGCTATTTGCAATAGCCAAGTGCTGGAAACAGCCTAAGTGCCCATCAGTCAATGAGTGGATCAAAAAACTGTGGTGTATTTTCACAAAGGAATACTATGCAGCAAAAAGAAAGAAGGAATTCATACCTTCCACTACAGCATGGACGAAACTAGAGACTATTATGCTAAGTGAAATAAGCCAGGAGATGAAAGCCAAAGGCCTTTTGATATCACTTATAATCAGAACCTAATAAACAAAGCAAACAAGGAAATTAGACCCAGAGACATGGAAACAAGGAACAGACTGACAGTGACTAGAGGACAGGGGGGAGGGAGAGAACAAGGGAATGAAGGGGAGGGGTCCAGCCAAGGAACACATATGGATGACCCATGGACATGGACAACAAAATGGGGACTGACTGTGGGAGCTGGGGGAGGGTGAGGCAGGGAAGAGGAACAGGGGAACAACTAGGAGAACTGTAACAGAATGGAAAAATAAAAGTTAAGCCCTGGCTGGCGTAGCTCAGTGGATTGAGCACGGGCTGGGAACTAAAGTGTCCCAGGTTCGATTCCCAGCCAGGGTACATTCCTGGGTTGCAAGCCACAACCCCCAGCAACCGCACATTGATGTTTCTCTCTCTCTCTCTCTCTCTCCCCCCCTTCCCTCTCTAAAAATAAATAAATAAAATCTTTAAAAAAAAGGAGAGTGATTATGAAAGTTTCTTTAAAAAAAAAGAAAAAGAAAAATTAAAAACTAAAACTGTTACTCTAAAAAATATCCTTCCTCTTTACCCACAGTACTGAGTCCATTTGTTTTGTATTTATGTCCTACTGCTGATTCTCAGTTTATACACTTATTCTTTTTTAAAATATATTTTATTGATTGTGCTATTACAGTTGTCCCATTTTCTTCCTCTTTATTCCCCTCTGCCCTACACACCCCCTCCCACAATCATTCCACCCCTTTATGTCATGTCCATGGGTCATACATATAAGTTCTTTGGCTTCTACATTTCCTATACTGTTCTTAACCTCCCCCTGTCTATCTTCTACCTACCACTTATGCTACTTGTTCTCTGTACCTTTTTTCCCTCTCTCCCTGTCCCACTCCCCTGCTGATAACCCTCCATGTGATCTCCATTTCTGTGATTCTGTTCCTGTTCTAATCAAGTTGCTCACAGAAATGGTTGAGTATGGTTGCAAAACAGAGGAAAAAGTAAAGGCTATGCCAAGTGAAATAATGGAAAATGTACAGGGAACCAACAGTGACGGGAAGGAAACTGGGACTCAAATCAATGGTGAGGACCAGAAGGAAGAAATAAACATTCATCCAGAACAGAATGAAGAAACAAGAATTCAGAAAAATGATGAGAGGTTTAGGAACCTCCAGGACATCTTTAAATGTTCCAACATCCAAATCATAGGGGAAGGAGAAGAGGAAGAGCAAGAAATTGAAAACATTATTTGTTCAAAACTTATTGGAACAAATAATGAAGAACTTCCCCAGTCTGGCAAAGGAAATAGACTTCCAGGAAGTCCAGGAAGCTCAGAAAGTCCCCAAGAATTTGGCCCCAAGGATGAATACACTAAGGCACATCAAAATTACATTAGCTAAGATTAAAGATAAGGAGAGAATCTTAAAAGCAGCAAGAGAAAAGGAGGCAGTTACCTGCAAAGGAGTTCCCATAAGACTGTCGGCTGATTTTTCAAAAGAAATCTTGTAGGCAAGAAGGGACTGGAAGGAAGTATTCCACATCATGAAAGACAAGGGCCTACATTCAAGATAACTCTATACAGCACAGCTTTCATTTAGAATGGAAGGGCAGATAAAGTGCTTCTCAGATAAGGTCAAGTTAATGGAGTTCATCATCACCAAGTCATTATTATATGAAATGTTAAAGGGACTTATCTAAGAAAAAGAAGATTGAAAATGAACAGTAAAATGACAAAAAAAAACTGGCAGTTATTAACAATTGAAACTAAAACAAAAACAAAAACTAAGCAAACAAGTAGAACAGAACAGAACCACAGAAATGGAGATCACATGGAGGGTTATCAGCAGGCGAGTGGGACAGGGAGAGAGGGAAAAAACGTGCAGAGAACAAGTAGCATAAGTGGTAGGTAGAAGATAGACAGGGGGAGGTTAAGAAAAGTATAGGAAATGTAGAAGCCAAAGAACTTATATATGTATGACCCATGGACAAGAACTAAAGTAGAGGAATTATTGTGGGAGGGGGTGTAGAAAACAGAGAGGAAAAAGGGGAGAAAAAATGGGACAACTGCAATAGTATAATCAATAAAATATATTAAAATATAAAAAATAAATAATGCAGAGTTGTAGAATGTTTCACAAGACAATGTGATTAAGAATATATGTTATATGTTACAATATGGAAAATCTACAAAGAAAAGGAAACAAGTATGGCAAAAGGCAGAGTAGTGGTTAATGGTTACCTCTAGTGATAGAGGAAAAGCATGTGATCTTAAAAGAACACACAAAGTCTTACTGGGAGTCTATTAATAGGAATGATGGTTGTATGACATTTGCTTTATAATTATTCCTTAAACTGTATTTTTCATTTTTCAATGTGTGTGACCTTTCATAATTAAAAAATTAATGTCATCATGTCAATTACCTTCTTACAATCTTTCAGAAGTTCTTAATTTTGGAATGAAATCCAAACTCTTTAGCTTCTTATAAGAAATCTTTTATCATATATGCCCTGCATCCCTCTTCCTCTTCACCACCCCCATTTATGTCCCAGCAGAGTAAATGACACCTAGTGCCCCCCCAAAACAATCATGCTTTCTCAAGCCTATGGGCCTTTGAAAAATGCCCCCAGTGCTCCCCTTCCTCTGTCTAACTTCTTAATGTCCTTAACATTCAGCCAAAATGTCACTCCCTCCAGTAAGCCTTCCTTGACAAATTTCCATCTGTATTAAACTCTCTTCTACTGCACCCTATGTCTGCCCATTAACAGCAGAGTGTAAGTACCATACTGCTTAGAGCACATCTCTCCCTTTCAGTGGCATATTTTATTGTGCCACACCTTTAGACTGAAAGTTACATTAAGGCAGGTACAGCCTCTGTCACCTAGCCCAAGAGCTAAGGATGATATCTACATCACAGATTCTCAATAAATGCATGCACAATGAATAAATGTAAAAGATGAGACAATATAATATGTTTTCTACATCACTGGGAATAATACATAACTCAAATATTAAGTTCAGCCAAACAATTTTAGACTGAAAATGGTTTATTGTTGGCAATTTAATACATGTTGATTAATCACAGAATAGTGACTATTATACCTCCTTTCTCAATATAACGGTAAGCAGACTATAATGAAAATCATGATGTGAGACAAGTATAAGGTTAATTTCATCAGTCTTCTGCAGTTATAAGTTATGCATTAGCTCTCAGGGCAGCCTACCTACCCAGAGTCGTACAAGCCACTAAGCAATGAAAGAGAGCTATTGATCACTAGCTGAAAACAGCTTCTTTTGGAGTCTTACAAGTACCACTGTCCTCCTTTTATTTCTCAAAGATGTAATTTGACAGATAACTGGTTCATCTCTGCTGGAATCTATTGCTTATTGACTTTGGTAACCGTGAAACATCAAGTATGTGATTAAAAAATATATTTTGCCTATGTATGCTGGTATTTTTATAGTACTTTAAAAAATTATTCCAACTAGCAGGGCAACTGGATCTATTTTTAAGATTGTTTTTATCAAGCAAAAAGATTTGTAGGCTAAAATGTACATAAACTGAGTTTTATCAAACTGGGATATGATTTCTCTTTCCTTATTTCTAAAAATCTATATGTTTATATATACACACATATATATGAATGTACATATATGTGTATATGTATAGGAATATGTATATATGTGAAAGCAATTGGGCATTACAATTTAGCTCAGAACCAACTCTTTACTAGAGGGGATGAACTGGTAAACATAGAATTATATCACAAATAATAAAACCACTGAATAATACTGTTACCCAACTGTTACTCAACCTCAAGAAATTGTTCATTGCAGCCATCTTACATAGGCTGTTGTGGGTGATAGCATCACACTGTTATGCGATACACTCATGCACCTCAAGATCTCATGCTGCTATCTGGGGTATTAATAGCACACACCAACAGTTGAACATTCTGTCTTACTGATTTTCACTTCTTTAGCGACACTATTTAGAGAAGTATTTCTTCAGATCACATGCAACAAATCATGTGCAATATATTTTTTAAATTGTCCCTATAGATCACATTTCCTGCTAAGAGACATTTTCAAATTCACAACTCACCACTGCTTGTGTGGGTTCTCATCTATAGGAAATGGATCTAATTCAACAGCTTCTTGCATGAGTTGCCATAATGAAGATCTGAGATGATCCTGCCATTGATGTTTCTCATACTAGCCTAAAATCAAAGCAAAAACACAGGCAGGGTTGATTTTAACACACTTAACTGGAAATTTCACCTGCATTGAGAAAACCAAATGACTGAGAAGTTAAATGGTGCTGGGTGATGTGGGGTGGGGGACAAGGAGGAAGAAAACATCTTGCAGTAGTTCTCTCTGTACAGTTACCACAAGCACAAGAACTTTGGTTTACCAACACCAGAATAGCTGATGTTTTAAAATCTGAACAGGAGCCCAATTAGTATTACTATTTTGGGTGATATGATATTTGGTTTTGTGACATGGACTTGAGTTTTCTGATACAAGCCATCCTACTAAGCGTCAACTGGGACAGCTCCACTGTTACATGTTAGCATATTCTACTTTTCATGTAAGATTTCATTGGAACTGTGGGTTACTTAGTTGCTGGTAAAAGGACAGAGAGAAGTTTGAAAATCACTTACGTGAAATAAAATAAAACTAAAGTTGGTCTGAAGCAGACAAGGGACCTATATGTAGTTCTTCCATAATCTGATCGTAAGCAAAAGTAGATTTGTAACTTCAATCTCTTACTGTTACTTTTCGACACTGGATCAGATTCTCCAGGACTGTACCGGTCTCCTTTGTTCTACCCATCATCAAACATAAGTTTTGCTTTCTAGTGTGTAAAGTATGGTCACCACACCCAAAACAAATTTCCACTCTGCACCAAGTAAGAGTCCCTTTCTTAGCCAGGGGCTTACAACTGGCTTCTGGGAATTCCTCCCCTGTCCCTTCCTGCCCCCAGGCCATCCCAAAGTGGCCCCAGTGTCGCCCACCGCCAATCAGAGGAGCTAAATTTCTTTCTCCTCTGAATTCCTAATACACTTTTCACCAAATCAGAAACTATATCAGCATATACCATCTTTGTTATTTAGCCTCACCTCTCCAAATGAATATAAGCTCCCAAACGTCAGAAGCTATATTATAGTTTCACAAACTCTGCCACCCATAGCCCTTAACAGAGAACTGTGGGTATGGGAGACATTCATTCAAGGGACATTTATTATGCCCCTGCCATGTGCCAAACAGACAGATTATGATTTAGTAGGTTATACAGGAAACACAGAAATAGGTAATTATTGTGTTGTGTACTAAGGGCTGTGACAGAGGTAGCACAGACACTGAATTAACATTATCAAATAAACAAACTTAGGAGCTTTCCTTCACTATCATCACTTTTAAATCCTATTTTCAACGTATGAGAAGGGGATAATTACTTTAAGAAACATTTTCAGGAAGTACACAAAGCACCCAGGATATCTGAAAACCAGGAGGCAGTTTTACTTCTATAAAGACAAGCCGCTCAAATGAATTTCTAGTACTTTTATGTCACTGCTGGGTTTTTTCCCCTGCTTTCCAACAAACACACAAACACACAGTGTAGCAAAAATCCTTTTTATCACTGTGCAGGCCACCCTCCAAATGCCTAGTCCCCCTATAGGGGAACTTCACTTCACACCTGCACAACACAGCCAGTTTCAGAGCAACTGTGGGCTAGGAATACTTCTAAGGAATCTTCAGTCATTTCTTTTTCTACTCAAAACTCTACTTTCCATTCCCAGGAGCCCATGGGTTTTACATTTCATAGTCACCAGGGATAAGAACAGTAAGGCCACAGTGGCTTGTTAGGAATCCAAAACATCAATTTGACTAAAAAAATGCTTTACCAAAAATAAATATAAAATTGATGTCCACTCGTCAAACCAAAATATCTCTATTTAAAGATTTTTGAGTATCATCTGTGGTATCCAATTAGAGTTTCCACCAAGATTCACAATAAGAAATAAAGCTCTCCTCCATTAAATAAAGGTGGGTAGGGAGGATTAGTACCTAAAACATACAGCAGACAGATTTTTCACTTCCCCCATTTGCCTTGATTTTTTTCATAAGCACACAATGTAGTCAAGCTGAAAAATCTTTATTCAAAACTGTACAACTTTAGCCCTGGCTGATGTGGCTTAGTGGATTAAGCATCAGATTGCAAACTAAAAGGTCGCCAGTTCAATTCCTGGTCAGGGCGCAAGCCTGAGTTTTGGGCCAGGTCCCCAGCTGGGGGCATGTGAGAGGCAACCATTTGATGCTTCTCTCCCTCTCTTTCTCCCTCCCTTCCCTTCTCTCTAATAATAAAATAAATAAATCTAAACAAAACCTTTACAACTTTGTTATGAAAATATGAACAGAGAGGTAAATTTCTAGAAATCCAAGCTCCAATTCTAAATTATATTTTCTCTTTCAAACAATCAATATGCAGCATGATCTTTTATCTGAATCAGCAACCGTGTATCATCTCAGATTTATGTAATGTGATAAATATACCTAATATGCAAAAGAAACAAATGGATTCTGTTCTTTTTTACCAATAACCATCACCCCCAGTAGTTTATAGGCCCAACTACAAGTCCTTGGTCCTCAGAAGTGAGAAGACATCCATGCGTGATAAGAAAGAAGCACTCAGCCCCCAGCAAATACAACATTGTACTCCTCTCTTGTCATTACTGGACACTTTTTGCCTGTTTTTGCATAAGTGTTGCAATATCCAACCAAAAGATTAAAAGAGACTGTAGAGGAAATAGGAGGGGGCAATGGAGAAAAAATTTAAATGTCAGTTTGTTTTCTACTGTTCTAATTGAAAGAATTCTCTCTTGCTTTGAGTCCATTAATCTCATAAGCAACTGAGCAATCATTCAATTTGAACGCACTGATTCCATGCAGTCTTTTAGCTACAAATGTCACCTGAAGCCAGAACTAGAGCAGGAAAGGCAAGCATCTGCTTCCGTGTCTAACAAACAAGAAAACTCCCAATTAGTCTTTGTTTTTTATCATTAGTATTAAAATACTTTTTCACTAAGATTACATCCAAAAATAGATTCATTTACATAAAGCCACAATAAAACTTTTTTTTTAAAAAACCTTTAATTATAAGAGGCTTTACTTTAAACATGGGAAGCTTGTTCACATTACTCAGGTTAGGCAGATTCCTTTTCCTTGTAATTTTCCTATAGAATATACTAACAAGAAACACCCTAAAAATTTCCCTGTAATTTAAAAATTTATATATTTTATAGCATCCACGATCAATTCTCAGTTCATTCTAACCTTGAAAAATATTAACCACAGTCTATGAAACTATTAAAATACATAGCTGCAGACATACCAGACAATGACAGCAAAAACACACTCGTCCCTCTGGGATCTGTGCATAAACACCCCTTCCAGCATGGCAAACACACTCCTCCCAGCACCAGATGCTGCTCTGGGGCAAACAGTCAGGAAGCTGGAGGCAGCTGATTTTTCTACTCTACATATAATTTCTCACTGCCTCATCGTAAAGAACCTTTTTACTGAAACTGTGAAGATTTTATAACACCAGGAGCCTGTCAAATTAAATATACTTTGCAACAACGGGAGGGAGTAATATGCAAATGAGGAAGTATGAAGACTCTTTAATTCCTAAGGTCCTATTACCTTTGTCATCTGATTTTCTTGTTCCATTGTGGGAGTGAGAAAATCCAATTTGCTCTATGTGGTACAATAAGCTAATCCAGGACTCTGTCTATTATAAGAGTGACATCAAGGTAGAGAAGGGAACCAGAGGCAGCAAAACTGCTACATCCATACTAGCCAACCCCAAAATCAAAGGGTTCCAAAGTGGAGTCAAAAGCCTGTGAGCTCATTCATGAGCATCTTTATCTATATTTACAATACATATGCTCACCTAAGGCATTAAATTTACAGAAACCTTCCTGCGAGAAATGGTCATTCCTGCAACCATTTTTAGCACATTGATCAGCATTCTGTGAGATCTCCCAGGGCTCAACACCAAGCAGTCTAGAGATAGAGAGAGAAATCAGACCTTGGGCTGGCAATGCCTGGTGCACTTATACCCATTTTCCTTCCATCTGAGCTGTGGCCTGTCCCACATGACTTAGCCTGCCTGCTTCCGGTTCGTTCGTAAAAGTTATCATCAACAGACCAGCAGTGGACAGGGCTGCTGTGCAGACCCTGACTGGCTCTGCAGCAAAGACGGCCGTGTAAACAACCTTGTGATTGCTTCAGAGCTTCCTGCCTTTGGATAAACCATTCTCGTTCTGTGGCTGAACTGCAATATCCCAGGAAGTTCTGTCTTTAAATGGATGGAAGCAGATACTCAGTCTTTAGATTTAAATGCAGATATGGGGATATGGAATAAATATGTGTGTATATCTATAATTTCCTTGAAATATATCTAATTTTGATTAACTTGAAGACTTTCCAATAAATCACATTTATTTTGCTGCAAGCACATATAAATTCTGATAAATATATTGTCATGCTCATTTCTGATGATGTATCTTTCACTCCCCCCAAAAAAAGGTCTGACATTTCTAGGGAACACAGTCCCAGCACAGAATACCTGGGAACCATGCCATTAAAAAGCTGCCTGCTGTGACTAGATCACTTTCTTAAAGGGACCTCTTACCTCTATGACTGCAGTGCCAATGTTTCCTCTTATCTCTAAGCTGATCCCTGTTCTCTGTTCCTCTCCCCAGCCCAAATTTAACCTAGTATGTCTGCAAGAGTAATGCCATTAGTTTTGCAACTAAAATGTATAAATAGCATTCTCAATTAAAATATGTAAATATGTCCCAAAATATTTAAGTTATACCTCTCAGAAGTAAATATAAATGCATACTGAAGACATGATTTTTAATGTTTTAGGGAACCTATAGCATTTTTTGGATACGGGACTGAGGCCAGCACTTCTAACACGCACAGCTGTTCTCTCTCTCTCTCTCTCTCTCTCTCTCTCTCTCTCTCTCTCTCTCTCTCTCTCTCTCTCTCTTTCTCCCCTTCTGTTTCTTTTTTCCCTTCTGTAGCTCTGCACTGGTCTAAAAATCCCTGGTCACAATAAGAAACCTCCCTCCCACCCTCTGCCAACCCTCACTCCAAACAGAAAGGTTCCAATACTCCCACATCAGGGGGAGAGATGCTCTGTACAGAAGGAAAGGCTGATAGTTTCTTGCATCAGAGGTAGTTCACTTCATTAACCTGCTTTCCACTTCATCTTTACCCCGCTCCCATCCTGGTTCTCCCACCCTACCAGGAGCAATTAATAGACAACACCACACCCTCCAAAAATCAGGTTAGAACCCAGAACGAGCAAAGAGCCACCTACCATTCCGTGCTTCAGAACTACGATCCTCATCCAGCAGTGTTTGCCCCCAAAATCCTCCCTATTTGTTTTCCATTAACCACATCCCAAACTGTTATCAAGAACAGATTCTTTGGAGGTGGGAAAATTGTTCAAAATTAATGATGGACAAGTGGTTTCTGAGAAAACCCAATCTTAAAGTCACTCAAGCCCCTAGGAATTGAGGGGTGAGGAGAAAAAAGGGAAATTGTAAAAATGAAAAAAGAAAAGAAAATGGTAAGCATATAACAAGAAACACCCACCCCCATAAAAATAAAAAGAGAAGGGAAGGTTTTTAAAAAGAAGAAGAAGAAGAAGAGTGGCTTGCTGAATCACCCTCTTTCACTGCCTGGAAACCATTGTGCAGCGTGATGCTGCCTGTACCATTGTGGAACCTACCAGAGGAGACGGACAGAGGGCTTGGGGAATGGGGTTGCTATGGCAACTTAAAGGAGCACACATGACGTCAAAGCCCAGAGAGGTCTAGGGAGGGGTAAGAGGGGGAAAGGAAAAGAGGAAAAAGTCTATGTGCGGCTGCAGCTACTGCGTTTTCAGGTGAAATGAGGACCTGGCAAAATGGAAAGGAATAGGGTTCGTTGGCAGCCACTATCAGTAACTACGACATCCGACAGCCCGTCTGCACAATCCGGAGAAACAATCGGCTCCATGCAGCCCTGGCCCTGTACACAGCCACGCTGAGAAAGAAATGCCCGCAGTGCAAAACACCATTGGAAATACAGTCCATCTCTTCTTTTGCACTAGCTCAGCTTTTTGCAAACAGCGAGCACGAAGAGAGACATATAGTATCTGTAAAAGTCAAAGCAAACAAAGATGCTAACAATCTCAGAGGGGATGTGAGCATTAAGTCCTGCCTGAACCCCACAGAGCATTTGCACAGCACTATTCCTTTCCTGTTTCTCTTGTTTTTAATAAAAGTCCTAAACAAATACCCACTAGATCAAACTCAAAAACTCAAAAACTTATTCTTAGACTGCAATTTGAATGTGGAAGCGAAATATAGATAATTTGAATTAACAAATCAGGGCTGGCTCTTTTTAAAAAATTGCAGGTAATTCTGTGGAGAACTGATACAAATTATATTATTACTATTTGGGGCAAATATCTCATTTTAGTTAAGTAATTTGTCCTGCTTTTGACTGCTGGAATATATTTTTAAGTCTCCATTTAGTTTTAACATCTATAAATAATAGTATTTTTGAATGAGAGCAGTTGCTACTTCCACTACTAAAAAAATTAGCAGTTTCTTTTAACATTTTAAAATATTTATTTACATAAGGAAAGTTTTCAATACATATTTGACCTAACCTGAGAAGTGCTTGGACTTCTCAAATTAATCGAACCAAAATCTTTTTTTCCTTAACCAAGTAGTGCTGAGTTTTATACTATTGTACATTATGTTTTGGAACTATTTTACATACAGAATTAGGAGCATGTTAACAAAAAATACATAACATGCAACAGAGATAAAGCAAGCAGTGATAGTAGACACTAAAACATATCATAAAACTACATGAGACCACATCAAGTTTTGTGGTGGTGGTGGTTGCTGCTATAGCTATTTTATTCAGGAAGCAATCTAGAAAAAGAAAGTCTTGCATGAGTTTGCTGTCTTTTTTAGTCCATTGAACACATTTTTGGATGTTACTTACTCTAACAATCAACAAGAATCAGTTGATCATTAACTTTTGGTTTTGGCAATTGGCCTACTTACAAGATGACTATGTCTTGAACAAAAGTGTATACTAATTAGCCCAATAACTTTATAATGCAATGTAATTGACATTCAGATTTTTAAGTTATTATATTCTAAGTTTGGATATCAAAGGTAAGTTCCCAGTAACTGGATATCAATAAGGAGAACATGAATTTTAAACTCTTACCTCATATTACAAAGATAAAAATTAATTCAAGATAAATTATGCACTGAAACATAAAAGCCAAACATCTATAAAACAACTAGAATAAAATGTATCTTTTAGAAGAAAAAATAGCTTTCTGATCTTGGAGTAGGTAAAGATTTCTTAGAACTCAAAGAACTCATCACCACAGGAAAAAAAAGACTTAATCAAAATTAAAAGCTTCTACTTATCCAAAGTCACCATTAAGAAAATGAATAAACAAGTCACAGACTAAAAGAAAGATATTTAACATAAACATATCTGAAAATACTCTTGATATACACAAATTTTTGTTTATATAAAAATATCCTACAACTCAAAGATAAAAACAATTTTGTTTAATGGGCAAAAGTTTTGAGCAGGCACTTGACAAAAGAAGATTTATAAATGGTCAATGGGTATATAAAAAAATACTCAACATCATTGGTCATCAGAGAAATGCAAATTAGAACTGCAACAAATGTCATTTCACACCCACAAAAATGTTTAAAATTAAAAAGATTAACAACACTAAATTTTGGCTAGGACATGGAGAAACCAGAACTCTCCTACATTAATGACAGGAGTATAAAATAGTAAAACTACTCTGGGAAATGGTTGGCAGTGTTTTTTTAATGATAAACATACACCCACAGGATGACTCAACAATTCTATTCATAGTCAACCAAGAGAATAAAGCCCTATGTCTATAAAAAAAAGTTTTACATAAATGCTTGTGCTAGTTTTATTTATAAATGATACACACTGGAAACAACTCAAAGTATATCAACAGGAGAACAGGTAAATTATGGTATATTCATATAATGGAATACAATTCAGCAACTAAAAAGCAGCAAACATAAATAAATTAAAATGAATACTTTTTTCCATATGTGTTAATTCTTGATGGTACAAGTTATGAAAATGATAGATGTCAACATTGTTCATAGATTTTGGGGTGTATTTTACAATTTAAGAATTTAATTATCAACTTACTCATTTCAGTAATGCTTTGATGATTAAAATGGTCTTCTAAATTGATTATGTATAGTATTCAAAAACTAATTCCTAAAATTAGATCATTAAATACAAGTTAACTTTTTAAAAATCAACACCAAAATAGATCCCATCCCTTACTGGATAAAACCATAATTTTTTACTCAAGACCTTCAAAAACATTATTTGAATGTAAATATTTCTTGCCATTTCTCATTGCAACACAATATGTTTTAGAGCCTCTGCTTCCAAACATTTTTTAATCAAAAAAGAGAACAAAAAAGAACAGATACCTTTTGATATCATTGCATTTAACAGGCACTGTGCTTTTGTGGTTCCACCTATCATATAAACTCCCACAAAAATGTCTCCTTCCTTTCATTTGGTACTTACCATAATGTATTTTGTATTGTTCTTATTTTATGAGCATATTATTTCTTACCTTAAATTTGACTGTGACTTAATTCTATTTATTTCTCACTGTCTTCCCTGAGTGTCTTTTTCCAGCAACCTACCATATCTTCTTATACATGGTAGGTGATCAGTAAACAGTTATTGTTAATTATAATTATCTGTGATCATACAATTCTTTGTACCAGCTATGAAAACTTTTTATCTCAAATATTATTATGGAATGCTAAGTTTTACCCAATTTTAAAGCAGGTAACCTCTGTTAGTAATATTACATATTTCAACTTGAACTACTTCAGACTTTTTTCAAAGTATTTTCAAATAGAACTATATTTAATCTAGAAGTATGACCCAAATTCTATCAATACTATTATCATAAGAGTTTTTGAAACAGGAGTTTTAAGTCAATAAATGAATGTAAGTTCTTCTTTTTTAAAGCACAGAATTGTATTTAGTATCCCTTGTATACAGGTTTATTTATTTAATGTCATGTTTGTAGTTGGTGGTAGGGCTGATGATGTCCAGAAATATTTCTTGAGCAAGCAGATCTCCCTTCCACCATCAATTAAGTCTTTGGGATAGCACATGTCCAAAATGAATGACTGAGACAATGCAACAATATTGATGAATCTCTAAAACATTATGCTAAGTGAAAAAATGATACAAAAGAGAATATTTACCATATAAGTCAATTTACATAAAGTTCTAGAGTAGACAAATCTATTCTATAGTGATGGGAATCAGAATTATGTTTGGGGGAGGCACAAGCTGGGTACTGTACTGAGGACAAGAGGAAACTTTCTGGAGTGATGGAAATATGCTACATCTTGATAGAGGGGTGAGTTGTTGCATAAGTGTAATCATTTGCTAAAACTCTTCAAAGTATAACTCTTAAGATCAGCACATTTTACTTTAATTAAATTAAATCACTGTTTATAAAATTTTTTCATCAATTCCCAAGAAAACAAATTTCTGAGTGAGCAGTTAGGAAGAGTTCCCTAACCTGTAAGTCCCCAAATGTGAATCCTAATTCTGCTGACTCAAGCAGGCCCAGGAATAAGAAAGGCCAGACTCGGAGTCACCAGGATATTAAAAGATCTAGAATCCCTGTGTAATGAGGCAGACAACTAACGGATGTTTTAAAACAAGAAATGAGAATTCAGATATTAAAAAAAAAACAGATTGTTCAGAGACTCCTGTAGAGAATCAGATTCCTAGGTTCTACTCTAGAGTCTATCAGTCAGCGTCAGGATCCAAGTCTCTTGAGGACAAGAAGGCACTGAGGAATTGGCTTTCCAACAGTAAATGAATGTCAAGGGACTCAGGAATAGAGGAACCTAGAGGAATCAATTCAGTGAAATTATAGTGTCAAATTAGAATTCAATTTCTGAATCCAAGCCTCAAGTGCATTCATTGAGGGGGTTTGTGAAAGTGGAGTAGCAGTAGAATGAACTAAAGACTGCATTCTAAGGTCTCTTATTGAAACTTGTCCCAGACTAGGATGTCTAACTCATCCCCATTTGCTATGGACTTCGAAAGTTTTAGCAAGTCCTTGTCCCTCAGTCCCAGGCAACCCCTCAGTCCCAGGCAAACTACAAAGGCTGGCCACCCAGCCTTTACAGATACTGGTTACTCAGCATCTAGAATGGATTTGAATCCTCATGAAAATTGAAAGTCCCAGCTGAGAAAAAGAATAACAAAAAGAGTCAAAAAGTTCACTGTAAGAGTGATGTGGCTAAAGAGGAGTGTCACCTAGCTACACTTTTAACAATTAGATTATTATGCCATGAACTAGGATTGTGGCAAGAGGATGTAAGTGGTTTGATACACACAAGCAAAATCATGAAAGGTAAATCAATAGAATTTGGTGAGTGAATGAATATGAGGAGACTGCAGAAGGTCAGTTTTGCTTTAGATTCACTATCATTTCAAAATGCATAATAATGTCTTCTCTCAGAGTCAGTCATGTATTTTTCATGATGTTTCCACTTGGGGAACACTTGTCCTTTGCAAAATTATTCCAGACTTCAAAAGTTTCAGAGATGCTTTATATACTATTTCCCTCTTGGAAAGTCATATTGCACATTACAAAATTAAGAC